AGGCAAGGCACAATGCACAGCACAGGCAAGGAACAATGCACAGCACAGGCAAGGCACAATGCACAGCACAGGCAAGGCACAATGCACAAGCAAGGGAGTAAGAAAAGGGAAAACTACAGAAGCCTGTTTTGCTGCCATGGCAGGAGCTGGCTTCGAAACAAAACCAGCTGAAACTAAAAGGTTGCAAAGAGCGAGTGAAATGTTGCAACAGCGGATCAGGCGGAACAAAAACAGCTGAAACTCCAACATGACCTGACCTGCTGGAATTTCACAATAACCTTCTGAGACCTCACCATGAGCTTCTGAAACTTCTCTTCGCGGCTCCGATCCCCGAAATGCACGTTCTCCCACCCCTTGCTGCTGCTGCCACCAACCCCACCCGCACCAGTAACACCCGCACCACTTGCACCTGCACCAGCTGCACCAGTCGTGCCTTCACCAGTTGACCCTGCAGCAGCATCAGCAGCAGCAGGCGGAGCGGCAACAGCAGCAGCAGGAGCCGTGGCAGCAGCAGCCGATGCGGATTCCTGCTAGTATGGGGCACGGGCGGGTGGGTGACAAGGAGTGTGCCGTCTGGGAGCATGAGGGGAGAGAAGCGTGTTAGAAGACAACGAAATGCTCTGCTCGAGACACAGTCATAGAGGCAGATAGCAAGCAAAACGCTTCTTGGCATACATGAGAGCTTGAACAAATTTGGGAGTTTTTTTTTGTTCCAGAGAAAATACCTACCAACTCCATAACAGCTTACACTTCTCTTTTTCGACCACTCTCAACAGTTCTGTACCCTCTCTCACCTCTGATTCACCTTTCCGATCACTCTCGACTGAATTGCTCCCAACCATTCTCAAACTCTCTCCAACAAAAAAAATCACAATTCTCATTCGCTCTCAACCGCGCCTGACCTTCTTTGAGCCCCACAGCAGCTTCCTCTTCTCCTCTGCTGTCATCCCAGTCTTGCCGAGCGCCGCTGCAGCCACCCCTCCAACTACCGTGCTCCCTGCGGCTCCCCCAATGCCTTTGCTCACTGCGCAAAGGCAGCGGGTGGGGAGGAAGGAAGGGGAGGGAAAGGAGATACAGTGGGCAGCCGGAAGGAGACAGAAGGTTCTAAACGATTGAGTACAAAACCCGGGCTCAAGCTCCAGAAGCGTGGGAGCAACTGGCAACTCTGCCACTCAGACTGGCGCATTTGAGGATTTCAGAATAGCACTACGCTGCTGCTAGTACTATGCATGGAGCTGTGGCAGCTACAGTGGCAGCCTTTACAGAAAAAGGAGAAGGAGCAGAGGCAGCAGCGGCAGCGACCATCTGAGCTGCTGCTGCTGCTGCCGTTGCCGCATTTGAAGGTTCGCATTTATGAATGCAGAGAGCGCGCGCCCCCACCTCGTGCTTTCATTTGTCATCTAGACCATTGATCACTAAACACAGAACGTGTGTTAGGGGAAGGCGTCCTTTTCACCTTCCCCCAGCACACGGTCTATGCCTGGCGATCAATGGTGTTGATGACAATCGACAGCACCAAATGGGAACGTGAGCTCTTTCCATTCATCTGTTGCTGCTGCAGCCATCGAATTTTTTTCCTTTGCTAGCTCATGCAGAAGATGGAAAAAAAGCTGAAGACACGGGAAGACCTAAACGCGGAAGTTCAGAAACTCCAAGCATCGTAGTCTGAGGCACAGACATCTAGCAAGTCCAACATTTTCTTGAAGAGCTTGCTAGATGACTGTGCCTCAGACAACAATGCTCGCGTTCAAGTCTTCGATTGAAGCATCCCGCGTCTGCAACACTTCTTCCATCTTTTGCATAAGCCCACCTCCCCCCTTTCACCCACCTCCCTCTCTTCACCCACCTCCCCCCTTCAACCACCTTCCCCCCTTCACCCACCTCCCCCCTTCACCCACCTCCCCCCCTTCACCCAACTCCCCCATTCACTCACCCGCCTCCCCCCTTCACTCACGTGCCTCTTCCCTTCACTAACGTGCCTTCCCCCTTCACTCTCTCACCTCCCTTTATCACTCACCCACCTCCCCCCTTCACTCAGCCACCCCCCCCCTTCACCCACCCACCTCCCCCTTTCACTCATCCTCTCCCCCCAACCCCCCCGATCACTCACCCATCGCCGCCGCTCTTGTTGCTGCAACCATCTGCGCTGCTGCTGTAGCCGCAACACCAGAGAAGCCAGCTGTAACAACCATCAACCACCCAACAACTCACCCACCCCCCCACCCCCTGTCACTCACCCATTGCCGCCGCTCTTGTTGCTGCAACCATCTGCTGCTGCTGCTGCTGCTGCCGCTGCCGCCGCTGCAGGGTTCACATTCATCCCACCACCAGCTGTGGCCGCAACACCAGAGAAGCCAGATGTAACACCGGAAACGCCAGACGTAACACCAGAAGCACCAGATGTAGCCATTGAAAAGCTAGCTGTGGCACCGCCACCAGCAGCAGAAGCAGCTTGAATGCTGGCACCAATCCGAGCAGCCGCAGCAGCAGCAGCCGCTACAGCCGCTGCTGCCTGCATAGCTTTGTTGACAGAGGCAGCAGGAGGGGGGAGCAGCGCAGCAGCAGAAGCAGCAGTGGAAGCGGTGGGGGCAGGGGAGGCGGGAGAGGGGGCGGCGGAGGTGCAAAGCACGCCTGCCTTGGCAGCAGCGAGACGAGCTTTCACCAGCGCAGCTAGCTCAGGAGGTAATGCATCCCCAGAAGGCGCAGGGGGCGATGCAGTTGCTGCAGGGGGTAATGCACTCCCAGTAGGGTCCTTGGACTCGGCTGTAGCAGCCAATTTGCCCCTGGCAGGGCTGTTTTCCCTTGCGTTTCCCTCTTGTTTCTGTGAGCCGTTCGCCTTGCTGCCTGTTCTGGGCCGCTTCGGACTCCTATCTGGATCTTCTCTCTCAGCAGGGCCATGCGAATCATCATCTTCATCTTCCTCAGAAGGAGACGCTGCTGCAGCTGCGGCAGGAGAATCGTCTGAGAGCTCTCTATCCATGCCACCCCTCCCATTCCTCCTCTCCTCCTTTCTCTTCCCCCTCCCCTCATCGCTCGAATATTCCAACCTTTTCTCCTCCCTCTCCTCCCTCTGCTCCTTCCTCCCATCCTTCCTCCCCTCTTTCATTCCTTCCTGCCTCTCCTGCCTCCTCTGCTCCTCCCTCCGTTTTCGGTCCACGGAACCTTCTTCAGACCCTTCCTCGGAGAAGCTCGACCCTCTCTCCCGTCCCTTGCCCCCTCTCCCCTCGTCGTCCCTCACTCGCTCCCTTCTCCTGCCCTCTTTTCCCTCGTCGTCCCTTACTCTCTCCCTCCACCTCTCCAGCCTATCCCTGACCGCTCCTCTAGACCCGCTTCTAGGCAAATCCCTATCCTTATCACTTCTACTCGTCTCTAGAAGCTCCTTATCTCGAAAACCTCTGTCCTTCCCTTCAGCACGGAAACCCCTATCTTTGTCACCACTTCGAATGTCCCTGTCACCGCTTTGAATCTCCCTGTCCCTGTTTCCCCGAACGTCCATACCGACACCGCGTGTTTTCCTCTCCCATTCATCTCGCCGGTCATCCCAACCTCCCTCTCTCTCCTCACAATCTTTCTCTGTTCTTCTAACTCGGTCGTCCCTATTCCTATCCCTGCCTCCATCCCTATCCCTAACTCCAACCCTATCCTTATCTCTATCCCCATCACGATCCCTGTCCCCCTTTCTGTCTCGTTCAATTCCTCGTTCTCCTTCCCTAATTCTCTCTCTCCCCTCCTCCTTCACTCGCCTCTCCCGATCTACCTCCCGCTCCCGCTCTCCCTTCCCCTCTCCGCGCATCCCACACGCTTTATCCACGTTCGCCTCGTTTCTTCGTTCCCACCCCTTTTCCCGCTCTCGCACTCTCTCTTTGCTCCTATCGCTCTCCTTATCCATCGCTCTCTGTCGCTCCCTCTGCTCCCTCTCTCGTTCCCGCTGCCGCTCCCTCTGCTCTCTCTCTTTCTCCCTTTCCCTCTCTCTTTCCCTCTCTCCCCCCCTCTTCTCCCTCTCCCTCCCCCTGTCCATTGCAGTTCCCTTACCCCTACCTGTGTCCGTTTCTAAAAAGTTTTAGAGTCCTAACTACTGCTCTCGTCTCTTCTCTTGCTCCACCTCGTGATCTCTAATCCCGGATAGTAGATAAAAGAATAGCAGATCTAATTCTTCGTTACAAGCCACCTCGCTCTTAGACTTCTCTGCATGGCGTTCACAACGAGAAATACCTGTTCAGACAAGAAAACCAGGCTCGGTTTGCAGCACTTCGGAGCCAGTCACCGCTCTTTAGAAGCCCATTTTCTTTCGTCCCGCTCTAGAATTCTACACGCGCGTTGCGCGAAACCGAGAAACTGCTAACTACTAAAGAGGAACATGCGATGATGAAACGAGCAGTGAAAGCACACCAATCAGGGACAACATAGCTCCTGCTTGAACAAAGCAGGGACAATATTATGACCGTTGAGCTTTGTGTGTTTTGCTCGGTGAACTGGGGTGCAATGCGACTGAAGGTGCGGGTTTCACAGGCGAACTCAAACACATTCAAGTGTGAAATACAGAATGTAAAACGGGAAGACTACTGAATGACAGAATAACGAGGTTAAGATAGGCGGAAACGAACTAGGCGAAAACCTCGGGTTAAAGTGGCTCTGGAAGTTGGTGAAAGGTGCGGAGGCGACTCGCAAGTGGTTTGGAGCGGCTCGAAAGCCGAACCAGTTGACAGCCGAGCCCTTCGGCATATACACAACGAGCTAGGCAAAAACCTCGGTCTACTGGCTCTGAAGTTTGGCGAAAGCTGCGGAAACGTTCGGCAGTGGTTTGGAGCGGCTTGAAGGCCGAACCAACTGACAAGTGCACCCCTCCGGGATCTCCCCACTGTCATCTGCTACAGTTGACAAACATAGAAAGATGATTACAAAGCAATTACATCCACCATTCTTACAGAGTCACTAAGCAATTCCAGAAAAAAGAAAAATCACACCATATCTAATCCTACTGAAAGCTGTCAGACTTCAGATTACAAGTCAAGGGTAAGCTGCTCCTTCTCTTTGGTGAGGAAATGAAGCACATATGGTGTGAGCCTGATCGCCACCACCCACACCCCCAGCACAGCAAGGTGCTGCCTGAGCTGCTTCAATGCAGCAGCCTTCTCAGGACGACGTGGGGGCCCTCCCATAAACATGGTGTCCGACTGGATACAGAGCGGCACTTACGGTCCACAGAAGCGTAATAAATTGGCGACAACGCACAACGTGAAGCACTTTGCGATTACGGTGATTCTTATCACAGTGTGACTTGGATTGGAAGGAGAGTGGCCTCACGCCACACAGGAAAAGAAGCTGGCAGCTGCTTGTGAGGGTTTGGTTGGTAACCTGTGGAGGAGTGACGGATGGGAAAGAGGTGTGCTTGTGTTTAGGACCAAGCTGGAATTTCCACTCCCAAGGTCAAAAGGAGAACAAATGCACTTCGAGGATTCGAGACAAGAAGGGGACGGAAAATTAAGAGAGGGGGGGAGGGAGCGGAGAGGAAACAGTGGAGGATATAAGAGACGAGATGAGGGAGAGGAGGGGAAGAAAGAAATGTTTCCGAAAGGAACCGGCCGAGAGGAGACAATAGGGGGAGCACGAACAGGGGACACACTAGCGAAGCCAGAAATAGGAGGGTAGCGGAAAGAGCGGAAATACTTGTGGTGGAGCGGAGAGAAAGGATATGCACGCAAGGCAACGAGGGAAACAGGAAGACACGGAGAGCAGCCGGACAGAAGGGGGGATCGGAGGATCGGAGCGAGTTTTGAGACGTCCCAAAACTCGAGGCGACGAGGGGAAAGTCGGGGGGTTGGAAATAGGGATAGAGGAATCGGGGAGTAGTGGCGAATGTCGCAAAGGAGAGATGCTTGACATTCAGACACGTTTTAGCAGTCTAGGACAACCAGGACGAGCAGGGAACGCCCCTCCCTCTTCTCTCTGTTTCACTCTCATTTTATCTTGTTCCCTCGAATCGCAATCTTCTACGCGGCTCATGTTTCCAGTTCTAGCACGCGGCCGTGGGAACAGATGCAGAGGCTAGCGGTTAGTGACTAAAGCGACATGGAAGTGACTAACGGCAGGTAATCTTAGGCTACCCTTCTCTCTACCACCGCCAGCCTGCCTCAACAACGCACTCGATCAAACGGAGTAACCCGATTCCGCAGCCTCGCGCGCTAGATCGATTTCGACTTTCAACCCCACGAATCCTCCCGCAGGCCTCGCAGACTTTGCAAGTTTTCGCAAACGGTCACCTGAACTCCCTCCCGCGCTTACCTAGATCTTGTCGGCTCTATGGGCGTTGGCAGTGAAATGACGCTACGATCGAAGCACCAACGGGAGACGACAGAAGAAAAAGGAGAAGACGGGAGAAGAGATGAGGCAGCTGAGATAAAATATGTGACAAGTATAGCATGGGGGAATTTGGGCGGAAGAGGGGGTTTGGCGGAAACTTTTGTGGACCAGGGGGATGTGTGTGGGAGGGGTTGGGGGAAGATCATTGAAAAATGGTTACTTCTTGTGTGTCGCTGAGTTCGTCAATATTAACGACACGAATCAAGCTCTTCCAAAACGTTTCGGTTGTTCAT